AAGAACACGCGTGACTGAGCGTGGGCTGCATGGGATGACCTCCCCAGCTCCACGTCACGCCCACTATCACACCTGCAGTTGCCTCACAAGTTGCCGAGATTGGGATCTGACGGCTTCGGGGCCCTTGCCCAGCCCACCCTGTCCTGCCTGTTGTTGGGCTTTGGGCCAACGGACTCTCAGTATGCTGTCTTCTGTGCGTGGCTTCTTTCACTCAGCGTGGCTCGGGGCAGTCACCCGTGCTCCTCCAGGGCGGTGGCTTGTTCATTTCCGTGGCTGTGCAGTATTCCATTGCATGAACAGACCAGACCTCACCCGCCCACCACCTGTGGGCAGACAGTGCAGTTGCCTCCAGCTCCTGGCTTTTACAGACGAAACTGCTATGAGGATGTGTGCACACCCACCGTGTACTGCATACCCATGTGTTCAGAGCACAGGCCCAGCGGGGACGTTTCTGGATTTTAGCACATGTGTCCACTGTGGTAAAACCCATTGCTGTCGCGTCGCTTCCCACTCATCGCTGCCCCAGCTGGGACAGCACAGCTGCCCTGGAGGGGTGCTGGCTGCAGTCTCTGCAGAAGCTGATCGATCCCCAGGCCTGGCTTCCAAGGCGCCACTGGGCGGGTTGAAACCAGTGACCTTTTGGTTGGTAGACAAGTGGCAACTGTGGCAGCCAGAGGTATTGACAAGCTGACTTCCAAAGCGGTAGTGCCAGTTTCCGTTCCCACGTCCAGTGACTGAGACCTCTGCTGTTCCACACCTGTGCCAAGCTAGTGCTGTCCAACTTTTTAATCTTGACCATTCTGATGGGTGTGCAAAGAGGTCTGGTTGCATAGTGAGTAAGACATTTGGCTTCTAACTAGAGGGTCAGAGGTTCAAACCCAGCAGCCACTCTGCGGAAGACAGACCAGGCAATTTGTACATTGTAAAGATTTACAGCCTTAGAAACCCACTGGGGGTCACTGTGAGTCAGAATTGACTCGCTGGCAGTGGGTTTGGTTTTGGTTTTGGGGTGAGTGTGGTTAAGTGGACACTTGATTGACTCTAGTGGAGACGGACACCTTTTCAAATGCTCACTGGCTGCTGGACGCTGTCTTTTGCAATGTGCCTGCTCAGATCCTCGACCCACATTGTATTAAACTTTCTGTCTTCTGCTTTATCATCTGGAAGGGGTCCCTTATACTCTCTGATGAGAATGCCTACGTATAACAGGCTGTCTTCCACTTTGTGGCCTCCCCACTCACTTAATGGGGTATATATATATACACACCAATATATATATTGGTAATGTATAGCCCTCAGTGACTTTCTTGGTTTTGGGGCCAGGTTTCAAAGCACATGTCAGAGTTTGTGGCTCTTGGTTTGTGGCCACTGGTAGCTCTGTTTGTCTACCTCTGTCCTTATGGGACTATACATTCCTTCTATTTTCTTTTTTTTATTGTGATTTGGGTGAAAGTTTATAGAGCAGTTCTGTTTTCCACTCAGCAGTTCATCACATTTTGTTTCGTGACACTGATAGCAATCCCCACAATGTAACAGCTCTCTTCCCACTTCCTCCCTGTGGTTATCTTTTCTCTGTGTCCTTTCCTATGCATTCCTGTGCGCTGAGCTGTCTCCCTGTGCAAATACTGCCCTTCTGATCTCCCGTGGTTGATTGTTCTACGGAGTGCACCTACAGTGTAAGTGTTCACCTTATGCACCTGCCTACTGTTTGTCTGGAAGCCACAGGAGTGAGTTTAATTCCAGGCCTGAAGGATGACTAGGGGCCATAGTCTTGAGGGTTTCACCAGTCTCTGTCAGACCAGTAAGTCTAGTCTTTTTTTATGATTTTGAGTTTTGCTCAACACTTTTCTCCCACTCTACTTAGGACCTCATGTACTGATCCCTTTCTGAGTGGCTGGCAGTGGTAGCCAGGTACCATCTAGTTCTTCTGGTCTCGTAGTCATGTAGGCTGAGGTTTGCCTGGTCCACTATTCCCTTGGACTAATTGTGTGCACGCATCTTTGGTCTTCTTCACTCTTTGCTCTGGGTGAGGAGAGACCAGTTGTTGCATCTAGATGGCCACTTGCAAGCTTTTAAGACCCCAGGTGCTACTCACCAAAGTAGGATGTGGAACAAAGTTTTTGTGTAGTATGTTATGCTAATTGAGCATCATGTCCCCTGTGACCAAGGTCTCAAGCCCACAGGTCCAACAACTCACTCCCTAAGGATGGTTGGCTGCGGCTAAGAAGTTATCATAACTTTGTTCCCTGTTAGTCCTATTTATATGGATATACTTACAGAACATCTAAATACATATGTAGAAATATCATGTGTGAAACCTATATATAAAACACCAAACTCACTGCCATCGAGTCATCTGCCTCATAGTGTCCCCTCCTTTGGCTGTTCCTTGCACTCTTCCTTGTGTTTCCATGTGTATTTTTGAGTCAGCTTGTCAATTTCCATTTAAAAACACAAACAGAAAACCTGGCAGAAAGGACATCTGTACATGTGGTCTTCCCCTCCATGGATGTGCCGTGTGTCCTCACACTTAGGTCTTCTTTAATTTGTCTGGACTGTGGGGCAGCTTCCTGCAAACACTTGTCAAGCACCAGTGGTGGGCCTGCGCTGTGCTTGGAAGTGTGCAGGATGGTGTTTTCTGCAGAAAGACCCTACAAGCTCTGGACTAACTTCCCTCTCTGTTCTCTGACCGTACATGTTTCTTGTGTGTTTTCATAGACATACACTTTATATTTTCTGGACCACCTGGTCAGTGCACTGAAGGAGATGTCCCTTCACGAGCTTACGATCCCAGTGCTTCAGCTGGGGGTAGTCATTGCAGACTCTGTGGTGGACAGCAAGAGCCTTGCAGACCTCTACCACCTCAGGTCAGTACAGAGCCCAATGTCAGGGAGATGGACACATTTAAGTGGCCAGAGTGAAAAGTTCCTCAAAGCATTAGAAAAGCAAACAGCATTTTAAAAAGTAATAGTGTGGCTTGTTATGTGTGCAAATAATAGAGTCTCTACAATTTGTAAAGTCAGCAAAGCAGAGAACTTGAATATTTCAAAAAATGGTGTTTTTCATTTGAATTTTCTACATGATCTTGACTTAAGAATTGCACTGTGGTTACTGAGAAAATGTCCTTTTCAGGAAACACACACTGAAGAATTCAGGAAAAAAAGAACATGTTCAAATTCACTTGCAAATAGTTTAGAAAAATATGTGTGCACACATGTGTGTGTGCGTGCATGCATGCATGTGTGTGTGTGGAGAGGAAAGGACAATAAGGTAAATGTGTGTGGGTGTGTGTATGCAGAAGGGGAGAGGAGGATAAGGTGCGCATGTGTGTGCATGCATATGTGTGTAGAGAGGAAGTGGAGAGTGATAAGATGTGTGTGTGTGTGTGTGTGTGCACACGCGTGGAGAGAGGAAGTGGAGAGTGATGAGGTGGGCGTGTGTGTGTGTGCACACGCATGGAGAGAGGAAGTGGAGAGATGAGGTGGGCGTGTGTGTGTGTGCACACGTGTGGAGAGAGGAAGTGGAGAGTGATGAGGTGGGTATGTGTGTGTGTGCACACGCGTGGAGAGAGGAAGAAAAGAGTGATAAGGAGTATATGTGGAGAGGAAGGGGAGGGGATGATAAGGTGGACATGTGTGTGTGCACACGCGTGTGGAAAGAGAAAGAGGAGAGGGAGATAAGGTGGATGTGGTGAGGTGTTCACAATGAAGGAATCTGCATGAAATATGTACAAGACTTCTTGGTAGTATTTGTGCAAGTTTTCTGTAAACCTGAAATCCTTTCAAAATCAAGTTGTTTTAAAAGGATCAGAGCAGAGCTTTTCTGCTTGATGGTGGGAGAGGAGTGGCCCAGAGCCCACCAGTGTGCCTGATCTTCAGCTTTGACAGTGACTATGAAATAGTACTGATGGATTAAATTAAAACAAGTAAATAATAAAAATTTTTCTATCTGAAATTTGTCAGAGCCACCTGTATTTTTTTTTTTCCTGCTAATTTCAGGCAAGTCGGACCCGACTCATAGCGCCCCATCCTTGGGTTTCTGAGACTGTATCTCTATGGAAGTAGATTGCCCAACCTCCTTCTGAGGAGTGGCTGGTGGATCTGAACCTCCAGCCTCTGGTTAGCAGTCAGATGCCTTAGGCACTAGGCCACCAGGGCTCCTATACTAATTTCAGGAGCTTTAAAAATCATTAAAATATGACCAAACTACAGTTATTTTTCTCACCGTTCTGTAGCTCCTTTTTTAAAACTTTGTCCTGTGATTTGAGTGGGACTTTACTGAGCAAAGTGGTTTTCCATTCGACCCTACGCATTGTGATTCATGACACTGACTGCAATCCCCTTGCTGTGACGGCGTTCTCCCCGTTTCCTGTGTCTCCCATCCTTGTGTCCTTCTTTCCTAGCTGTGTTGTCTTCTCCCTGAGCCAAATCTGCTCCTTTGATCTCCTGGCCATTGTGGTAAGGAGTGTGTCCCCTCCAGTGGGACTGTCCACCACATAGGCCCGCCTACTGCTTGGCTGAAAGTTGACCCATTGGGGTGAGTTCGGTTCCCGGCTTGGAGGGGACTGTGGCCCACAGTCTTGGGGATTCCAGCAGTCTCTTTCAGACCAATAAGCCTGGTCTTTTTTTTTTGTTAGTGATTTTGAGTTTGATTTCATGCTTTTCTCCCACTCTATCTAGGACTTTCTGTTGTGGTCCCTTTTAGAGTGATCGGCAGTGGTAGCGGGCACCGTCTAGTTCCTCTGGTCTCAGGGTCCAGGCAGCTATGGCTCACATGGTGCCTCAGTCCTTTGGACCAACTGTTTCCACGCGTCTTTGACCTTCTTCATTCTAGTTTGCTTCTGATGGGAAGGGACCAGTAGCTAGATTTCAGATGGCTGCTCACTTGCTTTTAAGACCTTAGACACCAGTCACCCAAGCACGATGCAGAGCATTGTCTTTGTACACTGCCTTATGCCAATTGAGTTAGCTGTCTCCCAAGATTCTGGTCCTGAGCCTGAAAGCCCCGTGATGTGTTAAGGTGTGTACTGTGGCTAAGCACGTTTCAGAGCCTCACCCCTATTGTTCTGTGGCATACAGCACTCGCCAACGTGTGCGTGGACTTATCCTCTGTCCACCTGCCTGAGGCTGTGGTGCATCCCGTTTGCCTCCCTGGACCTGTCCAGCCTGCCTGTCTGCTGCATCCCTGTCGACTGTTGTCAGTGGCAACTGACACTGCAGGACTGCACGTGTAGGAGCTTCTCCCTGGATGTCTGTAGCTCTTGCATGTTTAGTTGTTTGTTTTTTCTTTTTTATATTATTGTGATTGGGGTTCAGGTTTACAGAGCAGAGGCTGAAAGCTGCACCTTGGATAGCTGCTCACGAGCCTTGAAGACCCCACTTGCTGTGGGCCCCCGCAAGATGGAGAGCACCGTCTTTGTGGACTTGTGTGCATTGATTTTGGAAGTTGATGGTTTTGTGCCACACACTGGACAGTCCCCACAGAGTTTTATTTCCTGGTCTCCTCTCCACCATATAACCTCATGAATTCCGCTTGTCCTTCCCCATAGACTTGCCCAAGTGTGTTCCGACCTGAAGTTGAAAGAGGCGGCAAAGCACCACGAGGATGTGGTTGGCCAGACGTACATTGGCGAGATGGAGCAAGCAAGGTACCTTGCTGCATGTGACACCATGCAGGCCCTTGGGAACATAGCCTCTCCTGGGCCTGGCAAAGGGTACAGAGGTGTCTTTTGTTGGTATAAAGATGGACGGTCTGACCCTCCTGACATGTTGAGCTAGGAAGTGGGACAAGTGTGTTGACCTCGGGTTCTGTCCACTGGTCACTTGGTGGTCAGCTCCATCAATTTGGTCAGGTCCCACCCCTCCTCTCTCCCTAAGCCCCCAGGCAGGTTTGGGGAGGCACAGAGCCTTTGGGGTCACCAGACCAGCCGTGCTACTACACTGGGACCCCATAGAAGCCTCACTTCTCTGGACAGTGAGGTCTTGGGAGGACCCTTGGCCCACAGCATGGGGGATCAGGGTGAGTGTGGAGTAGGGGCCCAGTGTGAGGTAGGGAGGGGGCCCAGTGTGGGTGGGGAGGAGGCTCAGTGTGTGGGCTTGTCAGGGGACACTGCATGGTTTAAAATCAGGAAGGGAGTGCATCAAGGTTGTATCCTTTCTGCATATTTATTCAATCTATATGCTGAGCAAATAATCCGAGAAGCTGGACTATATGAAGAAAAACGTGGCATCAGGATTGGAGGAAGAATCATTAACAACCTGAGATACGCTGATGATACAACTTTGCTTGCTAAAAGTGAGGATGACTTGAGGCACTTACTGATGAAGATTGAGGCACACAGTCTGCAGTATGGATTACATCCCAATATAAAGAAGACAAAAATCCTCACAACTGGACCAATAAGCAGCATCATGATAAATGGAGAAAAGATTGAAGTTGTCAAAGAATTCACGTTGCTTGGTTCTACAATGGAGGCCAATGGAAACAGCAGTCAGGACAATAGATGACGTGTAGCACTGGGCAGGTCGGCTGCAAAGGAACTGTTTCAAGTGCTGAGGAGCAAGGATATCTCCTTGAGGACTAAGGTGTGCCTGACACAAGCCATATTTCCAATAGCCTCGTATGCATGTGAGAGCTGGACAATGAATAAAGAAGACCGAAGAAGAGTTGATGCTTTTGAGTTGTGGTACTGGCAAAGAATGCTGAAGGTACCATGGACTGCTAAAAGAACTAACAGATCTGTCCTGGAGGAAGTGTGGCCGAGATGCTCCTTGGAAGCAAGGATGGCCAGACTTTGTCTCACCTACTTTGGTCATGTTGTCAGAGGGGACCATTCCCTGGAGAAGGATGTCATGCTTGGTAAGGTGGAGGGTCAACGAAAGAGGGGAAGGCCTTCGACAAGATGGATTGACATGGTGGCTGCGACAATGGGCTCAAGTATAGCAAGGATCATGGAGCTGGCGTGGGATTGGGCAGTGTTTCGTTCTGCTGTGCATGGGGTCGCTGTGAGTCAGAAACGACTCGATGGCACCTAACAACAACAAGAACAAGGCTAGCTGCTATTCCAGCTAGTGGTCAGGGAAACCTGAACGTGGTGGGGGTGGTAATGATGCTGGAGATTGGGCAGGGCAGTGCATTGGCAGGGAGTCAATGTGGGAGGGGCCACTGCAGGGAGCAGAGGATGGGTAGGTGGGGGAGGGTGGTAGGCCAAGAGGTTGGGCAGAGTGGGGATGGGGGGAGCCTCACTTGGCTCCTGCGTGGGGTGGGCACTAGAAGGTTGGAGTGGGGTGGCCATACCCTCCTTTTCTCAGGACTGCCTGGAGCTGGGCTGCGCTGAGCAGTAGGGGTGGGGAGAGGACCCAGGTGGAGCCTGAGGCCAAGGTGTGGTGGGAGAGTGGTGGGGAGTGGAGTGGCAGGAGGCAGGTGGGTGATGGGCTGGCAGGTGGCAGGGCCATCCCTTTGAGATGCGCATTGTCACTAGTCAATAGAAGCTGGACACAGGAGTCTGGCATTGGGAGAAGATGGGCTGCACATTATGGGAGCTGGGGTCCTTGTGGACACCTCCGTGGATGGTGGCATCTCACTGTGGTCTCGGGGAAGCCAGGCATTTCTGCCAAGGAGCTTATCCTGTGTCTTCCTCTGAGCACCGTCAATCTGACTTCGCTGTTGGCCGAGTTCACTGTCAGTGTGACTTTATGGTCGCTCGCACTTCTATCAGCTGCAGAAAAGAAATTGCCCTGAAGAAGGAGAAGAACAGGGAGCCTCTGGTGGAGGAAAGCCTGGGGATGCCGACCGAGCTGACAGCCCCCGTGCAGCCAGAGGCCGTGCGACCCCTCGTGGCCAAGGACAAGGTGAGTGACAGCGTGGTAGTCCACACCAAGGAGCCCGATGTGTTTATTCTCTGTGTGGTGTGCCCAGAATGTTGGGCTGGTGAGAAGCACAGAGACATGTGGCTGTGTCCCCCCAAAGAGGCCCTGGAGGTCTCCCAGGGAGAAGAGATCTACATATGGGACAGATTCCCGTGGGTGGCTGTTCAGGGCCAGACAGCAGTGGCAGGAGAACAGGAGCTCCTGGGACAGAGCCAGCACTTGGCAGCATGCAGCCTGCAGCCTGAGAGTGACCTGGTGGCCTCCTGACCTCTGCCTGCTCACCAGCTCACCTGAGATGGTGGGACATCTTTCTTGTGGGTTTGCCAGTTGTAAAGTAACCATCCCAGCCACAGCCACGCTCCTGAGGAAGAGCGACACGCTCTAAATAAAAGGACTTTGTTTCCAAGGGAGACCAGGGTCTGTGTGTGGGCCAGCAAAGCCGACGTTCCACAAGGCCCATGGGAAGCAGCAGGTCATGGGGCTCAGGTGTGACCACCACCCAGAATCACCGAGCGTCAGGGATGTGCTGGTCTATCCCCTGGCCAGGGTGCTGTCGACACACGGTGTGGGGACCCCATGCCGGGGTCCTGCTCAGGAGTCGGCTACCAGCTGACCCTAGTGGGAGCCAGCTCCACCATCCATGCAGGGGCCCCAGAAGCTGTCCCGGAGCCAGCCGTGCAAAGCCGAAGGTGGGCTTGTCAGGTGCGAGGTGCAGGGTGAGGAAAGACGGTGTCCACGCTGCGCAGACGCTTGTTGGGGAAAATGTGCACTAGAGCAGAGGGGGGGTGTGTGTGTGCATGCATGCGAGTACAAGGCCTGGGGTCCCCAGTGCTGGTGGACACCACTCCCGCCCACCCGCAGGTGGGAGCAGAAGGCTGTGACCCGTATGCAGTCACTGCAGCGGAGGGGGCCCTGGGGTCTGGTGTCTTACAGATTCTGAAGGTGAACAGAGAGACCGGGAAGGGCCTGGACGGAGAGTCCTTCCCCCTCTTGTGGGCCCTCAAGGCAGAGGTGCTTCTGGACATGGACCTGCATCAGCCTGCGAGGCTGCTGCTCGCCGAGGCCCGCCTGGCCTTCCAGGTTGGGGCCCCTCGTCTGCAGCTCACCTTGGCTCCGCCGCCCACCTACCCACTTTCCGGGCAGGGCCCAGCTGAGCCCCAGGCCCTGCAGTGGCTGAGCACTGCCCTACTCCCCGCCTCATCGCCCCGACTAAAGGCCTCGTGCCAGGGGTGGGCCTGGAACAGAACCCTGGGAGAGGGTCCAGACACTGGAGCTTGAGGGGCCCACAAAGGCAACGCCTAGTTGGGTCTGCCATGAACCCTGCCAGAGCACATGTCCCACCTGCCCCAGATGGCATCTGCAGGCCCCTAGGACCCCAGAGAGATGAGTGGGCCCTTGGGGAAAGACAGTGGTGACGAGCAGTACAGATCAGTGGAGTGGGGTGTTTGTTTATTTTAATTTTTTTTATTGTGCTTCAGGTGCAAGTTTACAGAGCAGAGTTTGTTTTACATTCAACTTTTAGTGTCCATTTGGTTTCACTCCCCATTTATCATCCCTAACCCTAATCCAGTCTCCTCTCCTCCCTGCCAAGTAACCCCTTGCCCCCTGCCATGCCCCTCATAGTTATGTACCCCTGTGTGTCCAGTTTTCCCTCCATGTGAGTGTTGCCCCTCTGGTGCCCCGTGGTCAATTGCTCCAAGGGATACATTGCCATAGGGTACATGGGTGCGTCACCCTGGGTTGAGTGGTCTGCATGTATGTTTTATTTACGTAGTAGGGGTTTGCTCTGAAACTATCTGGGGGTGGGGGTGCAGGATCCATGATTGTGGGGCTGGGGGGGCTAGCTGGCCTCTCACAATTGCAATTGACTGACAACATACATTATAAATAATGTATGTGTTACCAAGACAGCGACAACACCCATGACCTGTGTGTGTGTGTGTTACCAGGACAGCAACAGCACCCATGATGTGCGTGTGTGTGTGTGTGTTACTAAGACAGTGACAATACCCTTGGCCTGTGTGTGAGCATGTGTTACAAAGACAACACCACCCGTGACCTGTGTGTGTGCATTTGTGTGTGTGCATGTGTGGGTGCATGTTCTGTGTATATAAGTGGGTACGTATATTGTATATTTGTATATGTGTACCAGTATACGTGCATATGCATATACATGTATGTGTGACTATATGCATATGTGTGCATATATGTGCGTACACATGGGTTACACGTGTGTGCGTGCATGCATGTGTGTATAGGCATTTGTGTGTATGTATACGTGTGTGTGCACTTGTGTGCGTGTATGGATGTGTGTGTGGGGAGGCATATATGTACATATGTATTTATGTATGTACATGTGAGTACATGAATGTGTGTAAGTATCTGTGTGTATACATGTATATTAGTATGTGTATCTGTGTACATATGTGTGCGTGAGTGTGCATGACTGTACACAAATGTGTATGTGCGTGTATGCATGTGAGTACATATCTATATGTGAATGTGTGTGCATGTGTATACACATGTGTAGATTGTGCATGCATGTCTGTGCTGTGTGTATACATGTGTGCACACATGTGTGTGCATGTGAGGGTTTTTTTGTGTGTACACATGTGAGCATGTGAGCCTCTCTCTCTCTATGTATCTTTTGTAGGAGCTCCATGACCCTTGTGCAGAATCAAAATGCTTGCATCTTCTCTCCGAGTTGGCAAACAAGGAGAAGAACTATGGACAGGCTGAGAAGATGACTGAACAGGCCCAGCGCCTGGGCGGAAACGAGGAGTTTTGGTACCGCTCCACCCTGACGCTGGCAGAGACGGTCCTGTCCTCAGAAAAGGAGGACAGATATGTGCTGGTGAGAAGCCTGCACAGGGTGAGGACGTTCTCTGGGCAAGCGTGCTCTGTCACACAGCCTGAGGAGACATCCAGGGTCTCCCTTCTCCCCTCGGCTGTGGCCCTGGCCGTGGGCAGCAGGGTTGTGTCAGCAGCAGTACCAGGAGGTTATTGACACCAGCATCTCCACAGGTGTGCCGTCTGTTTCAGAAACTCATAGGTACCTTCTCCATTCTCAAGAGGGAGCGGCCCAGCAGGGCCCCTCTGTTGGAGTTCATGACCACTGACCTCGAAGCCAGGTAACTTCTGTCAGAGCTACTGCTAGGGGACTTGAAGAGTGGTTTACTTGTCCATGTAGTATGTGTAAGCCTTGCTTCAAACCTGTGGGAGTTGGGTGAAGCCGGGTGCCTACCCTCCACCAGCTCTGGAAAACCCCACCTGGTCCTCGGCTCTGGCTCAGCCCGGGCCCTGGAGTCAGGGAGGGCAGACAGGGGTTTCCTCTTTCCACTGGGTCTTTTCCTGTCTCTGAGTGTGGAGAGCACCTTGAGAGGGGACCGTAGACAGCCTCATTTGCTCTAAACCCCTTGGACAGCTGAACATTTAGTGCACGGGTTTGTCCCTTCCATGTGTTCCTTTCTACTCAGGAGAGTGGGTGTGTGTCTCCAAATAGACACATCACCTGGGGTGGCTGGGGCAGCCCAAGGAGGTGGCCTGGTTGATGTCCAATGGCTGTTAGGCGCGGGTCGGGGAGTGCCACAGCCACGTGCAGCCTCGCCAGGTGCAGACCAAACAGCCTGCCTCCTCAGGTGTGTCAGCCTGCAGATCCAAAGCATTGAGGAGTCCGTCTACAGCGAACCCTCTGGGTATTCACCGCTACTGAACAAAATGGACGAGTGCTTGCTGGAACTTGAGAAGAGGTTCATCCAGTGTGGCCGAAAAGAGAAGTGTGTGGACATAAAGCTGGAGCGTGCCAAGATAAAGAGGTAGGACACACTGCTGCTGGTACCACATGTGCAAGGGGGCCGCCCTGCTCTCTGATGTGTCCTCACCATCACTTACCCACTGCCTGCCTTCCCAGTGCCTCCGCCACCTGCAGGCCTGGGACCCACCTTGCTACCTTTCCCCCAGAGGCTCGGCTCTCCTCCCAGGGTCACACCTCCTAACCAGTAGGACCTTCCTTGTCCCCAGGCCTCATGGCCGCTCACTCTTCCTGGAGCACCCTGCGCTCTGCAGTGGCTTTGGGACTTCCCACAGCGTATATCCTGGCAGCCCTCAGCCCATCCTGCCTGAGCAACCACCTGCTCAGCCACCGCCAGGGCCCAGGAAGTAGCAGCACCCTGGGGATCTGCTCCCATAAAAATGATTGCCTTGGCAGCCCTATGGGGCAATTCTACTCTGTCCTACATGGTCACTAGGAGTTAGAATCGACTCTGTGGTACACGGCAACAAGGACCTAATGCTTTCAAGCTCTTGTCCTAACCTCCTATCTTGTGTCATAAAGGTTAAGTGCCCAAAATGAGAAGGAGGAGGAGCAGAAAACGGCATGTTACCTCGAAGCATATGACTTGACCCAGAGAGCCGTTGCTGAGGAAGAAGAGCTGTTTCACCAGGTTCAGGGCTTGCTGTCCCATCAAGACGTACGTGTGCTGCCATTGTGTCACCCTCTGCCCCTTTACCCACTGCCAGCAGCATGTAAGGAGCCACGTGGCGTAACAGTTATGTGCTGGGCCACTAACTGAAAGGTCAGTGATTAAAACCTGCCACCCGCTCCACTGGACGAAGATGAGACAGTCTATGTCTATAAAGATGACGGCCTTGGAAACCCTATAGGGCAGTTCTACTCAGTCCTCTAGGGACACTGAGTTGGAATCGACTGGGCACACACCACCACCACCACATCTTATTAATAAGTGTGTGTTGTACCACCTCTCTGAACTTACTTGGTTGTTCCCATCGACAAGTAAATACACACTCCTGTGTCATATCTTAAAAGCATACCAATCAGCTTCCACTGCTGACTGAGAGACAGCAACATCTGAATCAACCAAAACTTGACAGAATACAGGAAACAAAGACTCCCCAAGCCCTGGATGTCAGACAGTGATGAACAGTGACCCCTGAGAGGCAGATCACCCACCTGTGTTCAAGGGCACTGCAGCCACAGGAAGGGAAGCCCTGAGTCATGACAACCACCAGCTAGAGGAGACAGAGCCAAGAGCCCAGTTAGGATGGGAAACTGGGGTCCACAGGACAGAATGTGAGAGAGGTGAGCATTGCCAGAGGTCCACAGAGGGCCCTGGAGTGTTCAGCCAAGTACTGGTCAGCAAAGACTGGGGAGTGAACTTCCTGAGAACAAGGAAGAACCACCCAGAAGGGATGTGGGAACAGTGCTGATTTTACTCAGGCCTGGGAATAGCCCCTTGTGCTTCATGGAACACCTGAGATAGGAGGGTCTCCCCTCCATCAGGGGAGCAGCTAGCCACAGATGAGCATGGCTTCAGACCCATCAGAAGGATCTTGAAGATCTGCATCCCAGAGCAAAGCTTACGGGTATTTATAGGAATACCGAAGTATTTACCATCCAGAAAGGTCATATGCAGAGTTTAGCAACTAGTCACAAGTCGTAAGTCATGCAAAGATGTAGGAAAATATGATGTGTAATGAGGACAATCATCAAGCCATTGAAATCAGCCAGAACTGATATGGATAGTAGAACTGTAAGACAGGCCTTTAAGACACTTATCAGGACTGTTCTCAATGTTCCAAAAGTTAAGAAGAGACATGGAAGATATAAAAGTGACCCAAATGAACTTTTAGAGAAAAACTACAATGTGCAAGATGAAGGATACACAGAATGGAATTGATGGCAGATGATAAAGATCCAAGAGCCTCATGAATCCCAAGCATGAGAAATACACCATAACTGAATTCTTGTCAACCAGTAACAAAAAGCACATCTTAAAATTAGCCAGAGGACACTGGGATCTTAAAAGCTTGCAAGCGACCATCTAGAGGCAATGAGAGATCTCTCCTCATCCAGAGCAAAGAAGAATAAAGAAAACCAAAGATGCACAGAAACAATTAGTCCAAGCAACTAGCATACCACATGATCTTCGGCCTATACAACTATGAAACCAGAAGAACTAGATGATGCCCAGGTACCACTGTCAACAACTCAGAGGGGGATCTATATAGGAGATTCTGGATAGCGTGGGAGAACAATGTGGAACAAAACTCAAAATCATTAAAAAAAAAAAAAAAAAGGACCAGGTTCACTGGTCTAATAGAGCCTGGTGGAACCCCTGAGACTATGGCTCCTAGCTGCCCTTCAGGTCTGGAATTGAACCCACTTCTGTGGCTTCCAGCCAAGCAAAAGATAGGCATATGAGCTGAACATTTACATCAGGTAGATACACTCCTTGAAGAGATCTATCATGGGAGAATAGAAGGGCAGTGTATACACAGGGAGACAGCTCAGGGGGCAGGAGTGCATGGGAGGGAAGGACACAGAGAAGAGGTAATTATGGGGAGGAAGTGGGAGGGGAGCTGTTGCATTGTAGGAAATTGCAGTCAATGTCATGAGACAAAGTTTATGTGAGCTGCTGTATGGAAAGTGAATTTGCTCTGTAAACTTTCACCCAAATCACAATGAAAATTAAAATTAAAAAAAAAATGAATGCATGTTTTCTACAGAGCAGCAGGGATAAGGATGAAGACAGGTTTCTCAGTGTAAACAATGCAATTGAAATGATTTCCAATCAACAGCTATGAAGGACTGAAGGGGGGAAACAACTGCCAATCTAGAATTCTATACCCAACAAAAGTATCTTTCCAAATTGAAAGTGAAATGAAGGTTTTTTTTCAAATATACAAAAGCTAAAAGAATTCACCAGCAGAAGATCACAAAAAGTGTTAATGTCAGTCCTCAGGCAGAAGGAAATGGCATCAGAGAGATTTGTGGGTCTATACAAGAAAAGGACAGCATTGAAAACATAAATGGCAGTATTGTCTCTTGTTATTTCAGTCTTCTTTAAGAGATAATGGACTATGAAGATAATAACAGTACTGTTCAGGGTTTGTAACATAGCTAGAAATAAAATACATGACAGCAATAGCATCAAGATTAGAAAGGGAGACGCAGAAGCATACAGGCTGGTTTTCACAGTCCACATGAAGTGGTATAATACCCTTTGTGGGCAGATTGTGATAAGTTAACAATGCATACTATACACCTTAAGGCAGCCGCAAAATCAATGGAGAAAAATAGGTATATCTGATAAGGTGAGAAAGGATATCAGGTGAAATCGTAAAAAGTATTCACTTATTCCACAAGAAGGCAGAAAAAGGGAAAAGGAGAACACAGAGCAGGTGGGACAAATGGAAAAATAAGTGGCACAGTGACATGACCTTAAACTTAAGCATCTTAATAATCACATTAAATCTGAGCCATCTAAGCACCCAAAGTAAAATCCAGAAACCGCCAAATTGTACATTTTTAAAATTCAGCACTCAACTATTTGCTGTCTACAAGAAAGCCACTTCAAATATAAAGATATAATAAGTTGAAAGTAAGTTACCATACGAACACTAATCGAAAGAATTTGGAGTAGCTAAATTAACATCAGACAAAATAAATCTCAAAGATATTGCCAGGGACAAAGAATTTCACTTCACAGTGTACAGGGACCAACTCTGAGAGGCTTATTAATCCTACACATTGATGCATCCAGTAACAGAGTTTCGAAATAAATTAATCAAAAACTGATAGGAGAAATAGACAAACCCACAGTTATAGTCAGAAATTTCAAGACCTCTCTCTCAGAAATTAACAAGTAGCCAGGAAGTCATCAAAGCACTAAAAAATTTGAACAATGCCATCCCAGTGTGACCTAATAGACTTTCATACACCACAAACAGCAGTCCACTCTTCAAGTTCACCAGCAGCACTGACCATCATTTAGGTCATAAAAACAAGTCTCAATAAATTTAAAGGGATTTAACTTGTACAAAGTCAGTGGAATTAAATTAGAAATAATCAAACACTGAAGTATAAAATAGGTGACCCACAGGCACAGAAAACAGCCTGATGTTGCCAGGGTTTGGGTGGGCGGAATAGGAGGTGGCTCGGTGGGCCTGGCGCTTCCTTTAGGGGGGAGGGAAATGGGTTCAAATGAGAGAAGTGAGGGTTGCACAGCACTGTGAATGAGCAAAAGGCCACTGTACTGTACACTTTAAAATGGTTTGTTTTATGTTAGGTGAATTTTACCTCAGTAGAAAACCCATAAAGATCTGATGGAAATCTCCAAATATTTGGAAAGTAGATAAATAACACACCCAAATAACTGAGAGTGAGAAAGGAACTGGAAGGAACCTAGACAATATTTTAATTGAGTGAGATTATATATATATATATATTTTTTTCTATTGTTTTTATTAAACCTCCCTTCCCCTCCCACCCTTGGTAACCAACAAAGAAAATTTCCCTCCATATATAAACCTTTCCTTGACTTTTACAATAATGGACTAATACGATATTTGTCCTTCTGTGATTGACTTATTTCACTCAGCAAAATATCCTCCAAGTTCATCCACATTATGTGGTGTTTTGCAGATTCTGTGTTATTCTTTAGGGTTGCATAGTATTCCATTGTGTGTATGTACCATAGTTTGGTTATCCATTCCTCAGTTGATGGACGCCTAGGTTGTTTCCATCT